AAGAAGAATTCTGTCACTCATATCACATTGTCTGTCACACGATTTGGGTTCAGTGTATATGTAGATCCGACAAACTCAAATCTTGGCTGTCTTGGAGGTTTTGCCGTTGAAATCTGGGGAAAATAAACGACAAATTAGTCATGCAGTTTTTGAAACCACTTTTGCCAATAAATACCATTTCAGAGATAGTGAAGTTTCATATACAAAGCCTGATAGGCTAGATAGACTGTCTTACTAGGCCTATGTAGGCTTAAAGTTAAGCATTACAAAGTACAACTTTAGAAAGTTTCTGAAACTACAAAAAGTGCGACTTACATTTCCTTCTGTTCCTTCTTCCAAACTTGACGTTCATCTCCGGTAATTCACTGCTACGTACACCTCAACCATTATTCTCTCCAAATTTATCCATTCCAAGTGCAGAATTCAGTTTTTCTTCGAAATCTGACAATTAAAGCACAAAAACTTGAACCTCAAGAAGTTTTTGAAAAACTCCATTTGAAAGTACACGCAACGAAATTCTCGACGCTATTTATTTACCCTCCTGAAAATACGCATACGCAGGACGCGTTTTGGACGCGATGTCCTATCCAGTCTATATAATGGAGATAAAGGGTAATATACAGTCTTCGCGTGCACGCCGAACGCGTGCAAGAACCCAGTTGGAAAACTAAGTACCATCTGTCTTGCTTTCACCGGTGAGGGCACACTTAAGCTCAGGGCGGATACCACTTGGCCTTTGGCCTCGGGTATGCGGTACACAGACGCATTACATTTTTACCGTTTCAATATAATCTATATCCATGGTATTTAACAAAACAATCGAGGTGACGCTGAGGGTGCCATTTGCCCCTAACGGTGCACAAAACCCATGGACCCAGTCACAGCAGGCAACAATTGTTTTGTTATACCATGGATATAGATTACATTTATATTGAAACGGTCTTCTGTGTACCATATGCATATTTTATTAAGGGAATAAGCTAAATATGTGCTGAGCTGACCTTAAACGCCCGTTTAGCTTTTACGACTTAACTCAAGTTGGGATCTCTGTGATATCTTCGTTTCTGCTTTGGATACAAATCGGGACCGCGCACCGTTGCTTGCTTTGCGCCCTCTGGTCTCCACTTCTTACTATGAGTTCAGTTCAGAAATCCTGACTTGACGAATCTGCGCTGCCAACCGTTCGTACACAGCAAATGGGCTCATCTACCAAAAGTGGTAGCAGCCAATCACATTGCCGGACTTGTTTTTACGTCGTTCAACTTGCATTTTAATGAACGAGTCTTCAAGTCTGACTACATTGATTGCTGGAATTTCCATATACGTTGTGCAAGGTAATGCCGTTCATATGCAGTCATGAATAACTCCTTATCACCGACGGGGTCCGATTGGCTTATCCGTCAAGTCACTGACTGGTGACGTGCGACACACACGTTGTACAATAAAGGCTATCAAATGAGGGCGCCTTATAAGGGTTATGCGAGCTGTGTTAGCGCTGCCCGGCCGAGCGTGACGACCGTGTGGTGCGTACCGCCTGAAGGGATGGCTGACCAGGGAAGAGCAACGTACGTCCAACTTGATTCAGGTCTAGTTTAAGACCGGCTCAGTACATATCTATTCCCATTCATAAGTACCTTTTTGTAGAATTCGGCAAAGTTTGCTGGCATTTTGTCGGTAAAATTTTGTCGTTTCGCAACCTTTTTGTGCATTTTTCCTCATTGATGTTCATAGGCCACTCGTAACTGACTTGTGTCTGCCTCAACTCGATTTAAAATGATATGAACCAGATCGGATTACAAATTGTCTCTGCCATTGAAAATCCAGAGAAAATGGGTAATAAATGTTAACGCGACTACAACTCTTTTCAAAACTCAAGATGATTGTATTTCTCAACAACAACAGAAAAATTTAATATAAATAAGAATAAAAATGGGATTTCAAATTATAAACTGTTGAAACGACTAAAATCAAAATTTCTGATATATATTTTCCAGCGCAAGCATTACAGTAAACAGCCGTACGATGCGCATCAATTCCGCACGACATGTCGATATAAATTACATACAAGAAACTCTGACAGCTCTGGTACGTTACGCTCATTTTAAATAAAATAGTCGATAATGCTGTCGAGGTATTGCTTAGTGTCATCTGAAAGGGCACTCTGGTGACAATTGTGATAGTTTCAGGCCATTTTTACCACGACTTTGCCCGTGAATGTGAATAAAGACGGTGTCGTAATTTGCCCTTTTATCCTACTACTTTAATGACGAGTTGTGACTGGCAGTGCTGTTATAGTGTGCGTAGTAACTGTGACATTGTGGTTCAATGCGCAATCAACAATACGGTACATCAAATACAATAACCATCTGCCTGTGAACTGGCTTAACAAATCCTCATAAAAATGTGAAGTGAAGTAAATATACTGCACGGTTTGTCAAAACATAGCCTTGAGTCAAAATCGGCACTCTATAAAGAGTAAAAAAATGTGTCTACAGCATGTCCTGAAATACTCTTTAGCACAACCACACGAACTGTCAAAGTTATCTTCCAAATTTAACTCTTTAGGTACATACTTCAACATTAAATATCCAATCAATGCAAAATCCTCCCATTCATAATACGCTATACATGCACATGTGCGGAACTGACCGCATGGTCTGACCTGCCAAATTTAGATACTTGATGTTTATCGTGCCCAAAATGATTATTTCTACGTGCATCTCCCTCCTTATACATCTTAATCTGTAGCACATGAGCTGTAATTACAAGTAACCCAAAACATGTACTCACAACATTGGGCGTATAAACAAATTCAAACAAAAGTCTATGAAATTCTTCGACAAACTTTAGCGAAATGCAAAGCGTGCAGGCAAGAACATGATGGCACAACGCCCTCTAGGGTTCATAAGAAGCTTTTGACGTCACCTTCATTAGAATAAGTGATGGGCATCCGCTGCACCGCCCACTTTCGGGCAAACAATTTAGTTTCTTCAATTAAAAAAATATATATATAAATGAATTGGCTAATTCACTCTAGTTGCTGTGTGTGTGTACGTGTGTGCGTCGTGTAACGTGAATGTCCTTGTTCAGGGGCCACTTAGTTGTGGTTGGTGTTTTATCGTCCGTTTAAGACCGGCCACATGACGGGCTCTCGACCAATAGGAATAGCTAAACTGTCTGAGGTATTTATGAATGCAAGATAAATTAACACAATTTGACAAATTGAAACACTCGAACAGAAAGTTAGATATTAACTTACAAGGAAAATTATTGATTGTGATGTCCTTTTTTGGTCTCTGTTTTTGTTTCTTTTTTGAGGGGGGAGAGAGAAAGTTAGGATAAACGGGTTTAAGATAGAGAAACCTGTGATTTGTAAGGCACTTGAGGTTTTGTTGACTTGTTGAATTTTAGGACATTATGTACACCAAATTCCGTTGAAAAGTATTGACAAGATTGAAGAGCAGACGAGAAGAGACAATATTGCATGAGCATTTTATACAAACTGTAATGGCGATCGTAGCAGAAACAATCATCAGAGCATACTCGTGTTCCACGAGCATACTTGGGTGCACGAACAGAAGCATAATAATCCCGGGGCTCCGTCATGCATGGTCAGAGTGAAGAGAGTAGTACTTGTGACGGACACAGTGCTTCAATGTCCCCCACGCAGTGCACGTCTACAATAATTGTCAGGTAGTACCACTGCGGCCAAGATTACACAATTGCAACGTAGTAGACACGACGCATCAACTGTGGGAAAGATCACCGTTATCCAACATCTTTTTTGTGGCCCGGAAACATCGCCAGTGCGCCCGACGCATAAACGATACATGCCCGCTTATACAATATCACGTGATCATTTCGCGACCTATTAAAATTCCCTGTTATGACCGTGGTATAAAAATATTCTGTGTCCCACTAGCGTTGATGCGATAACCAATAACATGTTTATTCATCCCGAATATTAAAAAGCCAGTCAGCGTCATTTTCATGTTCTACACGACCAGGTAGTGAAGGAATGCACACGCAGTCCATGGAGTTGAGGCATATCCATAGATATATACATAAAAAGAAGAGTGCTATCTGCTCCGAGCGCAACAAAAGAGGGCGTGTTTTTTGGATACTCACTGCATAAGGGCACAGTCCAATAATTCAAGCCCAATTGACAACAGTGTAAAATCAGCACTGTTCAGGGCCCAATAGCATGCACGCCAACATCCCTGAGATTTCAGAAACACAAATGAAATTATTGTCTAGTCCCTAATCTTTCAATTTCTTTTCAATTTTTTGTGGGTTAACCGATTACATTTTTAATTATTGCCACAAAACAAAATCACCCCCCGAAAAGTGATTTTCCCAAAGTCCGATTGCAGCCATTTTTCAAGTGGCAACCCTCAACTTTTTCGGGCATTTACGACCATTTTTAAACCGTAGTTTTTAGCCATTCTGCTCTCATATGAAAGCTCAAAGACCCAGGGAGTTGATCCTGGCAACGATTTACACAATCTCACCATTTTGGGGGCCAAACAATCTCCTTTTTCAAAAAATACTGTGGGGGAGGCACTTTAATGCTAATGAGCTGGCCAGAAATTCTCACTTGAATTAGTGGTCTGCACCCATAAGGGCGTGTTTAACGGAGATCGGTGGCGCGTTTGACGCCAAGCACGCTGAGTTCGCATAACTAATTTATTCTTAAATGTATAGTCTTTGCTTACTCGCAGAACAGGTGCAAGGACCCACTTGGAAAATTTACAACCACCTGTCTTTCTTTTGCCGCTTGGGGGTGCACTTCAACTCGGGGCAGATAACTTCTCATTCTCCGCCCTCGGAGAAAATTTGACGCCGTCCTGGGCGCAGATATCGTGAATCCATGTGCGTGCTTGTAGACCATTCAAAATCAGATCGAATGGATATCAGTTATGTATTCTAAATGCAACACTCATGTACAACATGCGCGAATGTCAGCGCGTCTTTTGAACAAGGCACACACGTACAGAGCAATGGCACATTGTTTATTTACATCCGTAGCTGATAGTTTGAAACAAATGTTTCCCTAACATTCGAACAAGGTCGTCAGATTTCGTATGCATGTCTTTCAATGGCTGCCTTTCGATGAATAAGTTCAGCTAAATAAAAAAAGTCGTCCCCCTAATTAAGTCAGTGTTTAGTGAGCTGACGGCTCTGTAGCGGCGGCTGGCGTGCACATCGGGTACCAATAAGATTCGATTAAAAAAACGTCAAAAAATGTCACGGCAAAATTTATGTGCAGCGTATACGGGCACTCGTTTGTGTTTGTTTCCGCAGAACAAAATGAAACGCTCATCTACTGATTGAGTGTTCAGGTTGTTTGTGTGTCGGCTTTGTTGACGTTCGTTTTAGAATACAGACGCAGATATGCCAATAGCCGTACAAAAGCCGTAAGAAATTTCAAGTTTCCCATA